AAGCATTTGTTCACACACTCTTCCCAAGTGATCTTCTAACTTCCAATACTAACTATATACTTACCAAATCTATAATATCCCCAACCACTCTCTGGTCCAGATACCTATTAGACATATCCACCTAAATATCCGACAGGCCATGTGAAACTTAGAATCAAAAGCAAGCTATTCCACTTTCCTTGCCCAAATCTGCTCTTCTTCCTCCACTTTCCAAGTTAAATCACACCAAGTTACCCAAGATAAAAAACTTCTGAATTTTTTTTTTTTATAACTCATCGCTTATCTGTCCCTAATTCCAGTAACTCATCGCTTATCCGTCCCTAATTCTGGTATCTTTCAAAATTTATCCTATTCTTTTCCAGCTCCTATTATGTCCTTGACCTCTCACAAGGACTTAAATGAACTCCCTCGCCCCAGTTTCTGGACCCCTTTCATATAACCTCCACATTTTTACTATGTGTCTCCTGAAAAAGTGTGTCACAATTTCCCCACCCCTATGCACTTAACCTCTCAATGGATCCCCATTAAAGTCCCAACCCTTCAAGAAAAAGCCTAAGACTATTCACAAACTGTTTCTGGCCACTCCTCCTGTCCCTCACATCCTGGGCTCCTATGTTTCACAGCCCAAGTTGTATGTGACCTGACTTTGCACATGCTTCTCCTCCATGAAAAGTCCTACTCGGCCTGACAAGTGCCTGTTCACCCTTCAAAACTCAGCTCAAAGACCTCTGAGATGACTCTGTCAAGTTTCCCAAGCAGAATTAGCTGTTCTTTCCTTAGCAAGCCCCAAATGCTTTGTATATTCCTCATTACTGTATAACCTGATGAGTGCTTTATTGGTTCATTCGTCTTTATACCCCACTATAAATCCACCTGGGACAAAAGACCATAAGCCCCACAAGGATAGCAAGTCTATACATGGTGCCTGACATATGGGTGTCTGAGTATTTTTGGAACTGAGTTTTAGCACTATTTTAAAATGCTGTATTCAAGTATAATTAGTTCTGCTATATTGCTTGTTCTGAAATGTGAATTTGTTCCAACATGATTGATCTATCAGGGAATGTGAGCACAATGCAAAATTCTCATTTGCATACCACTTTTCATTTGCATCTACCGCACTAGATGAAGGTAGAAAACTGCACCCAGCTGAACTAAGCTGCGCAGAAATACACAAAACACACACACCTCAAACACTACCCACCCCCTCAGTTCTCCCTGTGTGATATGAGCCACACCCACCCACCCACATCTGATGTTACTGAAACATTCCATTTGATTTCAGGTAACCCGCCTTCTACCATTTCACAGGAACTCACAAGCAGCAAACCTTTCCATGCTCATTTCCACAAGCAAACCAGGTCTTTCTCAATGTAAAGTGCCACATTTATTATAGTATTTATATATTCCTTAGCCATTTCACATGTGTAAAACTGTTACCATTTTCATCAGATTCGTTTTTAACAATAAGTCACTCAGCTGTGTTTTGATGTCATTTTCCCCTGCAAGCCTGTAGTTTTTAGTGCACAATTTAGCATACCATGGCAACTTTTAGGAACCTATATGCTGCTTTACAGCAGAATGGACTACATGAACTATCAGCTGTATGATGAGCTCTTAGATTTTAAGAAAATTTCAATATTCCAACTGCAGTAAGTTACTGGAGAGAAAACTCTGCCCTCCCACAAGTTTCATATACATACAGCCCATGTCCCAACGGACTATTAGGATACTCACAACCTTTAAACTTGGTGCCTCTCATTTCTGGTAAGCAGAGGGTGGTTTTCTCCAGCTCTACAGTCCGCCTAAGCCTAACTCAAAAAACAAGTTCTCAGTGCCTGAATTTTCAAGTGTACCATGTTATGGGTTTTACTGTTTTTTGACTGCTTTTAACTTCTTCTAAAACATCCTGACATTTTGATTTTAAATTACCCTGTTTCATAGAGCAACTGGCCAAACCCTCAAGTCCATTATAAAAGGAACTACAGAACACAACAGACACCATATCCAAGTTAAAAAGATTGAGAGTCACTAACTCCGTACTATCTCAGAAGTGACTTTTTTATATGTAGGGCCTCCACTCAATCTTCCACACTGATGCCGAAGTAGTCTATAAATCACCTTGCTCCCCTAATAAAAATATTTTGGCTCCCTCCTTTTGGAATAAAGATTCAAACTTCAGTTTTAGATGAGCAAGCGTGGCCCTTCAAAATCTAGGACACAGCTTTGCAGGCTCATCTCCAGTCACTCTCCCTGTCCCAGTATCACCTCACCACTGGCCGTACCCCAACTTCTGGCATCTCATGCACCCACCATTCCCTTCTGTTTGAAATGACCCCGTCACCCCAGTTTGACAAACACCTATTCCGTGTTATTTTCTGTAAACTGGTCCCACACCTTCCACAAATTTATTCATCCTTTCTTCTGTTCTCTCATAGCACTTGTACGCCTACAACACCTAACGACTACACGGCCAAAAACGGAGAATTCATTTTTGAATTCTCGGGGTCCAACGCTGTGTCCAGCATATACTATTCCTTGACACATAAATGAAGTTATGAAGAAAATATAAACGGATGAGGGAGAGGTAAAGGCCAGAAGAGGGTAAGGTTAAGGCAGTGTATATATGAGTCCCCATTCTGGACGCAAATAACTTTCTCCTCTTTAATTATTCAAATATGAAAATATGGTGCATTCCACTGTACTCTAATGCACCAAGCTCTGTGTACAGTAAGTTTACAGTTTAATTTATTCGGTATTTCCTAATCTCACAGTGTTTTCTTAACCACACTTTGTTGTAAAATGGCTACCTTCGTAAAGTGAGTAGCAGGCAAGGTTAAACAAAAAAGTACGTCAAAAGTGGAAGCTAAGGATTTGAAAACTGAAATTGGAACTTTTTTCTAGACAATAACATAAAGTCCCATTCACAACAAAAAAAAATGTAAGTAAGTACTATATACCCACAAATCCAAGTCTTTTCTGCATTAAAATACATGTCCTTAGGTGAACCTATCTGGACTCTTCCAAAGTGATAAACATTTTAAAAGTAGAGCTTCCCAACCAGTGTACCCTGCATCTAGGAAAGTTACAAGTGTGAAGATATTGGTCCCTCACCCCTCATGGCCCAAGGGCCACAGCTGTGAGCAGCACTGACCACTTATTCCAGTATGCCTTACATACATTATCCCTTTCCATTGCACTACAATATGAAAAAAGCTTATACTTCCAAGAATATAAGAAGGTTAATATGCGTATAGTGGGATGCCTAAGCAATGACCAAAATGCGTATTTATAAACTACAAGTACAGTAGACAAATGCCTTCAATTCCTTTTTTTTTATTTGCAGTCAGGACCAAGTTCTATAACCAACTTCATTCCCAGTCAAGAGAAAATAGTCTGAAATTTCCCAATAATTGTAGTTTTTAATGTGCCACCAAGATTTAAGAAACCTGAAAACACCTACAAACCGAACAGGCATTCAAAAGGGCTTCTTCATCAACATTATCACTGATCAAGACATTTTCAAAACTATGCAAGAATCAACTTTCAGAATGAATCTTCTCAGTCTCACAAGAAAATGTCTTCTGTCCCATCCTTATTTTTGACTACTTCATTTAGTATCTTGTTCACCTGCAAACTGAAGAGACACAACCGCCACAAATAACTTCTACCCATTAAAACACCCCTGCCCTCCCAAAAGAACTAATCTCCAGCAAATATCTCATAGTCTCATGTGCTTTCTGCAAGTACCTTGGGCAAGTCACTTTAACCTTTCTGGGTCTCAGTTTCCACACTGGTAGCTTTTCAAATATTTTGTTTCAAGCACACTGGACGAGATCACTGGTCTAAGAATATTAAGCAATTTTCAGTCTAAAAGACTGTGACAACTGCTCTGACGGCAATTACAAAGAAAGTCTTCAAAACCTTTTGACCCATGACCATATCACCCCAAAAGCCTACAAAACTGTTTTGGAATGGTAAACCCTAGCGGGCTGTGAAAAACACCAAGTGCTATTACGGCCGTTTTATTTTTCACTTGTTCACATTCCCTCTCTTCCTCTCCAAGATTAAAGGTCCAGACACAAGAATGCAAGAAATTCCGCACTAGCACTAATGGGACGATCCACCTAGGAAAAGGTAAGTATGGGAACTCAAATTCAAGCACATTATTGAAACCACGTCAGCTTAACACAGTAAATCCAAGGTCAAGCAAGAGGACTATTCACAATGTCATCTGCAGTAACAGTTAAAGAAAAGGTTACAGGTGTTCGTTAGCAAGCTCTCTGGGGAAGGGGAGGGAGGAAAAAGAGTCCAAGGAAAAAAAAGTTTCCAAAGAAAATAACGATTGGCGTTTAGAAATAAGGGAGAGATGTGTGGTTGGGTTACGGGAAAAAACTGCTTCAAGTAATTAGGACTGCCTCCGAGTTCTGAGCAATACTAGAAATCTCTTCATCTGGTGCCAAGTGCCTCTTTAACCAGGTCATTGTCACTCCCATCCCCTCCCCCGAAATCTGCGTGAAATTGAATTTTAAATACTTTTAGGGTGGGGGGGCGTCAACAGTTGGTTTCCCGCGTTGCGGTAACTGCGAAGTTCCACACTCCACGACGCACAATCCCACACAGCCACTCCGCCAAAGTTGCGACCCATCCTGGCCAAGAGTCCCGGACACCCACTCGCCGCCTCCGGGTAGCCGCAGCCGGGGTCCCGGGGCCAGGGCGCCCCACCCCCGCTCCCTGCGCGCCCCCGCCCCCGCCTCAATCAACGCCCCCCGCCCCCGGGCTGGGCGCGGGGGGCGCGGCCTGGGACCCGGCCGGATCGCCACAGCGGCGCGTCCGGAAGCCCCCCAACAACCGGCAGCTCCGCCACCCACAAAACTCAAATTGCCCGCGCCATGGCCCAGCGCGTGCCTCGGTCCCGGGGGGCACGACGGAGCGAAGGGCCCGTGCGTGGCCAGTGCGGGGAGCAGTGCCCGGCCGGGCCTCGGGCCCGTCTCGCTCACCTCTCGGGGTGCGCCGCCTTCCTCCGCCGCTGCCGCCGCCTCCTCCCTGTGAGTGCAGCGGGGTCTGACCTGTGGAACCACCATACCAGTCCCGCCCGCTGCTGCAGCGCCGCCGCCGCCGCTCCTCCGCCGCCTCAGCCGCCGCTCTTTGTTACCCCTCCGAGCGCCACCGCGTCAGCCGCCCGCCTCAGCCGCCCCGACGGGCCGCCGCTACGCCCTCCCGACCTCTCGGCCCCCGGCCTCGCCCTCCTCGCTGCGCCCACTGCCGCCTTCGCCTCCGCGCCGCCGACGCCGCCGCCACCGACGCCGCCGCCTCCTCCTTCGCGCCCCCCTCGTTTTCATTGAAAGCAAACAAGCATCATGGCGGCGGCCGCCGTCCCCCAGCCAGCGAGCACCCCGACCGCCGCCGCCGCTCCAACATCCCGGCCGCCCATTGGCCGCCGCCGCCGGGCGCGACCATTCGGTGTCCGGCGGGGTGGGCCTCTCCCCAAGCCCCGCCCCCTCGCGCACCCCCCGCGCTCGGCGGCTGTGGGCCGGCCCGGCGCGCTCCTGGGCCAGCCTTCCCGCTCTCCGCCGCTCCTTGCCTGCTCCGTCCCTTAGCTTCTACTCCCTCCTCCCTTTTCCCATCTATCCCGATCCCCCCCTTTTTTTTTTTGTCTCAGGCTGTTCACTTTTGTCTCCTGTCCTCGCTCCTTTTCCTCGATCTCCTTCGCCTTCCTTCCCCTGTCAATTACGTGGAAACGCGGACCGGCTCTCAGACTTGACTTGAGCCAGGGTCTTCATCTGCCTAAAGATAAGACTCTCAGTCGTGAACAGTCGCATGATGCTTCCTGCCTCTAATACGCAGGAAAAAAATGTTTATTAGTGGCCCGTTTCGGTCCATTAATGGTCATTCAGTCTAGTAAGTTAAGGGACAGTAATGCTGGTGGGATCCTAGCCGGAGTAATTGTCCGCGGCTGCCTTCAGGAATCAAGCTGTTCTGTTCAGGTGGTGATTGGAGGTGAGCAGAGATCGATGGTGATGGTGCGTGCCTCGGTGCATGTTAGCTGACTGGTGGTTGAGGCCCTGTGCTGGAGCTAGAATGTGGAGATGAATCAGGCCCCGCCCTGCCCTGAGTAAGCTCATGGTCTAGGGAAGAGAGAGACGCATGCCAAGGAAAGGGATAGCCACCTGCCCACCTACAGGGCAAACCAGGAGGGGCCACGGCGGTCCTTCCTGAAAAATCCACCCTGAAGAAGTGGGTGTGAAATTCGTTCCAGAAATGAACAACAGCAACAAAGTGAGACACCCCCTCCCTGAAGGCCGACTGGGGCTACAAGGATATGGGAAATGGGTGGCTGCTTGCTGCTGGGGCAGTGGAGAGCTGGAAGAGCAAGGAAAAGATTGAAGAACCAAAGCTGTTGGAGTTCTGTGCTTGCCTCTCTCCAGCATGGCCTGGGGGTGGTCCTTGTATTCTTCCAAGAAATCAAGTGACAACCCAGTGTTCAAGTGCCAGAGGACACTGGACAGGGCAGGGCACCAAAGCCCAGCAGGGGTGAGGGATTGATGAAACAAGTGCAGACCAACCTCTCGGCATCCCTCCACATCCTCCAACCCCAGACCACCTAGTACTGGCATTGTGCAGCCCCTGCTATTCAGTATCACCTGGCTGAGGGGCTGACATCCATCTGGGTCTCTACCTCCACTTGAGTACTGTGCCCTGGCAACCTGTGCTCTAGCCTGGACAGAGAGGTGCCTTTTTGTAACTCATCTGCCCAGAGGAAGCTACTTTTTATAATTGGCATAGTGTGTACGGAGGAGGGGAGTTCGTAACATAAAACTTAGTGCATAAAACAGCAACTTTTTTGTATCTCATGATTCTGGTGCCCAGCTAGACAGTTCTACTGGTCTCACTGGGGGGTCTCATGCCTATACTGGAGATGGTGGCTAGGGATTGAGTGTCTGCCACCTTAGGGCCCCCCAAGGAGACATCTACCTCTGTGTAATGTCTCATCCTCCTTCTTGTCTGTGGCCTCTCCCCCCAGCGGGTTATCCTGGATGTCCTACCTGGCAACCCAGGTTTCCACGAGGGAGCTGACAGACCTTCTGAGGACTATCACGTTCTCTGTATTCCACTGGTCAAAGCAAGCACAAGCCCAGTCCGGATTCAGGAAGAGAAGACATAAGCAAGGCAGGAGCTGCATGCACATACAGGAAGGATGGACTTATTTGGGGCCATCTCGGTAGGCTAGGTACCACAGTGGTGGCCCTGCCTGAGCACATCCTGTTCTTTCTGAAGAGAAACCACCGAATGCCTCACCTTTCCAGATCCACATCAAAGAGCCCCTCGTGTTAGGCAGGACCTCCCACTGCAAGTTATAAAACCCCAACTCAAATAGGCTTTATGCAGAAGGAGGTCATTTATGAATTCAGGTGTCCTGTAACTGAAAAGTTCAGGCATCTCAAGATGTCATCAAGAATCGATCTCATTCCCCCACGCTTTGCTCTGCTCGTCCACACTAGCGTCCTCACACATGCTTTGTGACCAGGCAGGGAAGATGGCCTCTAGCATCTGCTTCTACCAGATACTACCAGTTTCTCCACATGGATAGAGGGTGTACCTCTTTCCTCATTGTTCCAGCAAAAAGCCCAGGACAGGCTCTCATTGGCCAGGCCTAAGCCCCATCTCTACCCCTGCAGGGAGGCATGAGGTCAGCTCCACGTGAACCAGATGTATTGAGAGTGGGGAAGGGGTTCCTCAGGAAGAGTTGAGGACAGCCAGAGAATGGGAGCAGATTCCACCTCACCCCTCTGGGAAGGTTTCTCTGGAAGAGTTGGTCACTGTCTCCTCAGGTTCCCCACCATCTTTCCCTCCATGGGGGCACCTAGCAGATGATGTTCTTACCTCCCCTGCCTGGCTGTGTGCTACACATGTAAGTCTGACTCATGTTGTTGCCTCCATGCCACCAACTAGGGTTGCTTTTGAGGCTTTCCAACCTGCAGCCTTTCCCAGTTTCTTCCTCTATTATGAGAACCTTGCCACTCAGGTGCAGAGGTAGGCATGGGACCCAAGCAGGACCCATCTGGGATTGATTAATGGACATAGGAAGAGAATCCTGGCTCCACTGGGATGCTAAGCGAGGACAGTATGAATTGGTGGCAACCAGTGCATCTTCCCCACCACATGGAGAGATGACAGATGATGAAGAGAGAATGTCTTGGTGCCAAAAAGCCTTGGTACTGGGTTTCGGTAGTTTTTCCTTTTAGCCTGTGACCTATCCCAAGTACATGACTGACAGATTTTTGCTTAAGAGTTGGGCTTCTGCCACTTGTGATCAAAATACTTCTAATTTGATGCTCACTAAATATACTAGATAATGGGTGGGTGGATAAATAATAAAGACAGACAACTGAATGCTGGCCATGATCATGGATGTTGTTCTGGTGTCTATTTCTCACACATGGCTGGAGCACTGGAATTCAAACTCAGGGTCAATGTAGGATGTGGACAATAAGTTTATGGGTCCAGCAACTAGAGTTGTCAAGAGATGGGCAGGGTTGGTCAGACTGACTACAGTAAAATTCACAGGAGACTGTCAAATGAAGTCGGTTCCAAGGTTTATTAGCAAGGCAAGGCCAACCACTGTGTGACCAGAATGTTTGCATTGGAAGATCCACACATCTTCAGCCCATAAGGAAGCACAAAGTTATACTAGAGTTTGCTTGGTGAGCCTGAAATATGGACCCTGGCCACTCAGCTTTGACAGTCTATGCCTTCTCTCAGGGTGGAGACTTGTTGGCTAGGGACCAGAACTGATGACCAAGATCCCTTATCCCCACCCAGTGCCAAAGACATGAATCTACTCTGGCCATCAGTCTCTTCTTCTCTGGCCTCCAGGCCTCCAGGCCATGCTTTTCTTCAGCTAGGTCCTTTGTTCATTGTGTTAACCTGCAATTGTTTGAAAACCCAACTCAAACAGCTTAAGATAAGAAAGGAGTTCACTGGCCCAAATAGCTTTAAAAGGCCAAGAAAGGGACGCCTGGGTGGCTCAGTCGTTAAGCGTCTGCCTTCGGCTCAGGTCATGATCCCAGGGTCCTGGGATCGAGCCCCGCATCGAGCTCCCTGCTCAGTGGGAAACCTGCTTCTCCCTCTCCCACTCCCCCTGCTTGTGTTCTCTCTCTCTCTGTCAAATAAATAAATAAAATCTTTAAAAAAATAAAAAAATAAAATAAAAGGCAAGGAAATATACACCAGCTTTAGGTGTGGCTTGATCTGGGGGTTAATGCCACTCTCAGTTCTGCTCACCTCCACGTTGATTTTATCATCAGGGGCCACACTGAAGCGGAATGGAGGCCAGCTCCTACCAGGTTCAAGCCCAGTGGGGGAGAGAGCTTCCCTCAACAGGTGAATAGACATCCTGGGTCTGACTCTCATTTTCATCCCTGAACCAAATGCCAAGTTCAGGGCAATGTCCTACCCTAGCCAGGAAGAAGTCACACGCCCACTCTGGATCTGGATTGTCCTCAAGCTCACTCAAAGCACATATGGAAAGAATTGGGGGGTCCCCCCCAAAAAAACTGAGGATGCTGCTGCCAGAAGAAAGGGGAATGGTGCAGAAAGGCAGAAAGAAGCAGAGGTCTAAGGTCTCTGTATCAGGGCTCCAGCTGCACCCGCTCAGACCCCCTGCCTGCTGCTTCTCCAGGAACCCCTCTAGTCCTGGTCTCACTCTCGGTACAGACTGAGGAGAAGGTTCTTGCACGCCTAAGAATGTGGGAGGCAGGGTGCAGCTCTTCCGTTTCAGAGCTTGGATGCTCTCCCTGAAGACACAGTAGCGAATTAATGGGAACAGGGAAAAGCTGCAAATCCATTTCTGTTTTTAAGTGTATGACTTTTTTTTCTAAGATCAACCCCCCTTTTTCCTTGTTGTAAAAGTAATTTGCGGTCATGGTTTAAAAAAATGATTAAAACCAAACAGCAGAAAGGGATGAAGAGGAAATTAGACGTCTCATCTCTGGCCCTACTCCAGGCACAGTCCCTAGAGATTTGAATTGATTACAATGCTTTGGC